GCTTTACGATGTTTTTTGTACAAGATTAGTTGCGTGAAATATAATGATATACTGGAACAATCAGAAATCCCGAATGATAGGTTCACGTGAATAGCAAAGAAATGGCTTTCATTTTCAAGGGATAAAAGATAAACCACTTATAAGTCTGATTTTCTAGAAGGTAGACATATATACGTACATGAATACACATTCATATGAATCGGTTTACCCAAATGAACATTCCTCCCGACTCTTTTTCTTTTGTCTCAAGTAGCCGGTCTCATCTATGGAAAGATAGTGTATTCTCATTAAATTTAGAACAACACACATCACAAGTTAACTGAAACCAATTAACTTTACTTCAGTATATAAATTTGCTTGAAGTTGAAAACACTTTTATAATGAGCAAATGTTTAGTCTAACAACTAGTAAACTATTTTCAGCACTTATCTTCTTATTTGAAAATTCCTTTTCATGTAATGAATAATAAATTTTTTTGACAGCTTATATTCAAGGTGGGTATTAAATCTTAACTAAAGAATGACATATTAAGTTAATCTCTGAATTTGCACAATCAATTGTAATTAGCATAGCCATTAGTTTGTTGAGATCCTTGGAAATATAGTTTTACAAAAATCTATAAATTACAGATAACTGAAATATTATGAACCATAGATTCTGGTTCGCGATCATATTTGTATTATTCATAATAGAATGGATAAAATCATAAAATGTGTGCTTTAATAGCTCAATGTTTCTTAAAGTATATAATAAAAAAAACAAGAGAATACCATTTTCTTCTAATTAAAGTGTACTTATCCTTTTTACGAAACTTAAGCTAAGAAGGGGTTTTGTGGAGATTTAGTATTTTCGTAGTTAAAAGTGTGAGTCAATTGAAGCTATACCAGTGCTTCTAGGTTTTCCTTGTTGATCTAGCTTCAATTGACTCACGCTTTCAACTATGAAACTTAAACTATTGGAACTTTAAGCTACAATCAGAGTGACTTAGTCTATCATAGTAAAAACATAGAAAGTAGCTTCCATTACACTTTTTTATTGTAAGCAATATATCTAATGTATTCTACAGTGATAGAAGTTATTCATCGTCTAGGAGTTTATGTTTGCATTGTAAAAAAAAATAAAAGTATTAAAAAAGTTCAAATAAAATACCCAAATCGGATCACAGATTCATGCAGACTTATGAACACAATAAAATGTAAACTAATTCAATTCCATAAATTTCTTTAGTTATCTTTGTTGTGACTTTATAAAAAGAAAGTTTGTTCTGATTTTGTGACCTGCTTTTATCACTTGATTTATCCGATAATCAAAATAGGATTTGTCAAATCTTAACACTGTGCCAATCAATGACGTTCAACTGGTATGAGTGGTCTAGCGTCCTTATTGGTCCCTTTTCCTCCTAGCCCTTCCAATTGAGCCCAAGACCACAATGACAGCTTCTGTTATGAGAATCATTTATTTCGAGCATACTCAGTTTATATACCAGACAAACAGACGGGATCACACCACAAAATAGAAAATAGTATTTGTACAAGATCAAACCAAATGTGTCTGTGAATGTGGGAGACGATAATCAATAAACTGAGTATAATTTAGGGACATTAATTCGTATAATAATAATCCATAGGTCAAAATGAAGCTTATAATAAGATGAATATAGATATACATAATCTAGTTATTCAATAGTTATACAATAAGAATATATATAGAATAATAGTTCATTAATAAGTCCCGGAAATTACCCGTACTCATGTCTTTGTTAGGATATAACAATCATGTTTTCTGAAATATCACAATTTTCACTATGGCAACCTTAAGAATATCGTTTAAATATAGTGGTATAAATATAATAATAATAATAATTCTAGTGAAATATTGTAAATAATTTATTACAGAAATGTTTATTTTCATTTGAATTACTATATTACTTATTTTATATCTTATTAACAAGTTAAACATTAAGACCGTTGGATTCCGGTTCAGTGGTCTAGTGGTTAAGCGTTCGCGCGTGAAACTGATAGTTCTTGGGTTCGAATCTCGCGAGGCAGGATCATGGATGTGCACTGTTGCGGAGTCCCACAACAAGACGAAACGGTCGTCCAGTGCTTCCAGGTTTTTCATGCTGGTCTAGCTTCAATTGATTCATGATGTCAACTATCAAAATTATAAACAAATGTCGAAAAGGTAGTTATACTTTACATGAACATTCATATTTAGCTTTTATCTACTATACTTAGAGATTGAATTATGAATAAATCTAATGTTAATAATTTAATAAAAAATTGATTTCGATGAAGCTTCAATGATTGATTTATATTGAAGTTGAATGTCATCTGGTGATTTATCTTTGGTTTCATGTAGTTTGTAGTATTCCACATGAAGATTAAGAATAAATCAACTTAACTATTGATTAAGGAAATCAACTTTTTGAATATGTTTTCATGAATATGTAATTCATAATGTTTCCTGAGTTTTATTACCATAAACAAAAAACTATGGTGGTTCAATGCATATCAGTAGGGTTTAAATATGAGAAATGTTTTAATTTGATCAGAAATTAATTCAGAACATTTTAAATGGTACATAAACAAGAACTTAATAACTAAACATAAATAGTTCAATAATCTCAATTGTCCAGTTTAATAAATATCACCAATATGAAGGATTTGTTGTGTTTGAATGCTTATATACTATTTGATAAGTCAATTTGAATTAATCAGTCAAATATTTATAAATATCAGAAGATGCTTTTGTGGATATTATAGTGATCTTAATAATTGAGATCATGAGTCAACTGAAGCGAGACCACAATGGAAAATCTGTAAGCACTGAACGGCCGTTTCGTCTCATCCTGTTACTCCTCAGCAGTGCGCGTCTTAAATAATAATCAGGTTGTTTTTTGAAGTAAAATATCAGCAAAAAAGTGTTCTGAAATAGTAACTCACTGAAGACAATGATGAGTGTGTCGTTCAATTTCGCAGATTAGTTGAAGTTAGACATTAACACCGTTGGATGCCGACTCAGTGGTCTAGGTGGATATGTCCTGGGTTCGAACCCCGCGAGACGGGATCATGGATGTGCACAGATGAGGAGTCCCACAATAGGACGAAACGGCTGCCCAGTGTTTCCAGGTTTCGCATGTTAGTCTATGATCTCAACTATTAAAATACTTATAAGTTCAATTTAAAAATAAACAAGATATTTAAAAAATAAACGATACTATCTAAGAGTTAAAATGAAACAAGATGTTCAATGTTCATATTACAATAATTTGTACACTAATAAAACATTAAATTTTTGAAATTTTTCTTTATGTAATACCGTTAAGTAACAGGTTTTTTGTTATACAGTCTATTAAATGATATCACCATTAATGACCTTTAACAACAATTAATAATAATATATTGTGTGTAGACAAAAATTAATATGAAAGCTAGGGATGTCCAAAATGTAGTGATATATATAAACTAATCAACATAATTGATAATCAACATAATTCAAATTAAGGAAACTATTCCATACAGAAATCTAAACAAGTATATTTTCAATAGTTGAGATCATGAGTCATTTGAAGTCAGACCACTATGGAAAACCTGGAAGCAATAGAAGGCCGTCTTGTCCTATTATGGGACTCTTCATCAGTGCAAATCCACGATCCCGCCTCACGAGATTCCAACCCAAGACCTATATTTTATTCACAATTTGAAAATTACTTAAACATATTCACAATAATGATCTTAATATAAGATTTTTTAAATCTTAATTTTAATCTTAAATGTTAATCAGGTTGTTGTTGCTTTTTTGAAGTTAAATATCAACAATAAATTAAATAACAAAACTTTGAATTTACCTTGAAAAATGTTTTGAAAGTCACAGAAGAAACATGATAACATACCCATTAACTGACACAAAACTCTCATTCATTTAGTTATAAAGATATTAATGATTAACTGTGTTATAACGTGTGTGTGCGTGCCCTGTTTGATATATGAACGTGCTGATTCCCACCAATGAGAGAAGATCGGATTATCGATCGGATCAATGATACACAAAAGCCGTATGAACAGTCTTGAGTACTTATCAGTCCTGATATCTGCCTAACCCAGCCAGTTAAGTCCAGAACACCAATAACAGCCTCTGCAATATGAATCATTATTCTCAAACATACTGGGTTTATATACCAAACAAACTAACCACATCGTACCATAAATTAAAAATAACATTTATACAAGATTTGGCCGAATGTGGCTGTGAATAGGAGGAACAGTAATTAATGAACTAGGGATAACTCAAGAATGGTAAATCGTATAATAATAGTTTATAGGTAAAAATAAAGCTTATGATAAGGGGAACACGAATGCGAATAGTTTAGTTACTTAGCAATTATATAATAGGAAATATACATATCACATTGGTCCATAAATAGTCCTGAATGCTACCATTCATAATTTTCAACAGGATATAACAAACTGTAATTGTGGGGTTAACCAAATCGGGTTTTTAAAAAAAATCTATTTTTCATCTATTAGTAATTTGTCATGATAATTAATACCAGTTTTAAGTGGAACAAAAGAGTTACTGTAACTGAGGTAATGAAATCATAAAGAAACGTCTTTACCTCATTTAAACAATTGCTAACTTTACATTTTAGATTAATCTTTAAGGATTTATAGGTTCAAATAGATTACAGATTTCATCTACATGTATATCCATATATATGTCCGATGTTTTGTTTCTTATTATCACGGAAATACAAATCGAATGTTATAACCTATAAAACTATGATGATTATGTTTTAGCTATATGATGAAATGGTTTTAAGATGAACATATTCATTTTCATCATCGATTTTGTTTTACTAAATTCCTCATCAGTGTTACTGTATACAAACTAGTTATTTATTATATATTGTGGTAAAACCATAGATAACTGTAATCGTTATAGGTTAACTCCAGTACAGGATAAATTGGGTTAATACGGTTTGCGAAGGGTACTTATTGCCATAAACGCGTTTTTATCGGCAAGGATTCATGTAAATTTCAGTGTAACCAAAGAATATCTAAAAGTTAATATTCAGTCAGTCAGATATATAATTGAAGTGAAACCTGGTGGTGATTTGATACTTTGGTACTTTTTACATGGGGATGGAAAAAAAGAAATCAACACTGTGAAAAGTAGGTAATTTATTTGTAAATGCAAAATATAGGAACATTGGTAACTATACAAGGAAATCAATTAACAAAGGTAAATAATTTGTTTTGCTAAATTCCTCGTTTATAAGTATATGTCTTTGAACATTCTCAGATATAAGAATGTTCTAATGTCGTATGACTTAGTTCCAAAATTATTAAAGGCAACATATCGTCTAACTGATCACCGCATATACAGGTGTAACTCCCGGATGGAATAATTTATTGCTAATTATGCAAAATTTATTTCTAAATCACATTTAAAGGTTCCCAGAAGTTAGAAAATTTTTGGCTCCGTTCATTAAAACTGTCTCGACGTTCGTATTGAAGATTCTGACTTACATGTTGTTTGACAGTTGTTTTGAGTTCCATATGTTGTTTAACTGTAGGAATACTGTCCTTGCTTTGTCGATCCTTGCCTGTACGTCGACATCAGATCCTCCTCGTTCATCGAAGACGCTTCACAGGAAGGTGAAAGATTCCACATCCTCCAGAGCTTCTCCAACAGTATAAATGATAGTGACAATTTATAGACGCAGTTTCACAAAAGTATCGTAGGACGGGTTCACTTAAATGATGAATGAAATAGAGAAAATAATTGCGTGTGGTGAGATTGCAGTTGATGAGTCTATCAAACATTGGAGGACTTGAGGAAAAAGTATTCAATGTAGATGTTTTTAACTAACAATAAACGACATAAATCGAAATCGACAACGTAAAATTAGTCAGAATCCTTTTCATAAAGTTAGGATAAACCAGTTTAGGTATTACCCTTGAGATGTGACTTAAACGTAAACTTAGAGGCCACATTATTATCGTCTAACTCGTGTGAACCTCGATCAGACCAACAGATAACTGATATGATGGGATTAAACAACGAAATAATATCATTTTACTTATTGTTATTTTCGGTCAAGATTATTTCCGTTTTTAATTCAATGTGATATAATTACTCAATATAGTATTTGTTTTGTTTCCCAGTCGGTATAACATTCATTTATTTGAATGTGATGTTTGTTAACGATACAATATTCTTGTATTATATTGACATGAACTATACACATCATGATAGACAGCATGTAGTTTTGCTATAATTCTGAGTATATTTCATATATGTGATTTCATTCCAATTATTAATCGAAATGGGTGTACAATCAATATATGAACAAGTGTATTTTCGACTAGGGTCGTCATCATGTTTTGAGATTAATAAATCTTCACCTGCAATGGTTTTAATGTTGTTTTTTTGCGTCGTCGGAATTGCAGTGATCTGTCGTTCTTTCAAACACAAGTAAGAAGCGATGTCGATATAACAATTGGCGACTCCGTCATATTAATCCACCACCAATCATAACAGTAACCTGTATTGGTGATCCACAGACTGAAACACACATTTTGTGTTTGTTAGTTCAAATAAAGGAAGTCGATCGATACTGTACTAACTGGCAGTTATCATTGTGAAATATACACAAATGAACTGTAGAATATGAATTTTCTAATATGTAAGAATTTGCCACTCTGAGATGAGAAACAGCAATCATTCGATTCTAATAGTGTATTTAATTCAATTTACCATCCAACTGTTTGTATCATACAAGAGAAATGTACTACCTAAAACAAAAGTACAATGCAAAAGTACATAATTGTATTATAGCATCCTGATCTCCAAAAAACATTGGATGTCACGCTCATAATCCAGTCAAACACAGCGGAATACTAGTGAGACGTGACTGCATCAATGAACATCAGCACTCGTTTGAATGACTTCATTACGTGACATTCGATTTAAATTTATCTGGCACAAAATCACTGTATAAATACATGTGTATCATGGTCTAGTTTAACATCGACACTTTATCGAACAAGGATTGTCGAGTCAGGTGAGTCAGTGATAATACATTTCAGATGAAGAGAACCAAAATCACCAACCACCACAAACATGACACACTTGATTCCATCAAGAAACAGACATCCACCACCACTCACACCTTTTTGTTTTTCTTGCTTCCAGATCTGTCATGATGAGGCTAGTCGTCTTACTACTGCTCAGTGTGTTATTCCAATGTCTACTGGCCGAACCTATCACCTCAGATGAAGGTAATCATGGTATATTTGTGGTTCACTGAGAATTGTACTGTTGAGCATAAATCTAGCAACTGTAACCAATTATACCTGTCATTTTCACATATTCCATGGAACTGGTTCAGACCATCAAGGTGAAATAGTGTGAACGAGGAGGTGGAACGTAAGGAATTTTCGAAAGCACGCATCATTCACTGTATGACCAACAGATTGTCTCATTACAGGTATATATGATAAGAGTGACCTGTGGTATCGTGATGACGGTTGACGCTTACCATCTGATTGAGTGGCCATTCCAAATGACATTAGTATCATATTGATTGCTGCAAAGCAAATCAACGTTCGTATCCATCAATCCGACTGAACATCTCACGAAACTCCAGTGAACGATTTTGTATTTTCACAGATGGTCAATCAGTGTCAATGCATCCATCCATACCAACATTCACCCATTCATTGATTCTCACATCCGATCACCCACTTACTGAAACACTGACCCACTCACTCATACACTCACATGCACATTAATTTTCTAATGCTTGCACACCTCATAGTTGTCAACCAATCACAAACTCTTTTGTAACATGATGTTCTTTTCTGTTGTAGCAACGTCGGATCCCATACTAAAAGACGGTGAGGATGACACAACCGATGGTGATGGCCAAGACGACGTCACAGTTGCGACAACTGGTAATGAAGATGTGGGTGTAACAAACTCCAAACTGTTACGCGGTCACCACGGTCACCGGCCATACCGTCGAGGTTATCGACATCGACATTCCCATAGACGCCATCGACATCGATACTGCCACGGATGTCGTCGTTGTCGGTGTCACCACAGATACTACTATTACTATTAATATACAGTAGGTTGAAGAAAGCCAAACATGTTTTTCAATCAGTTCAACGTCGATCAATTTTTCTATCAGTACATTCACAGTCCGGCTCTTCACAACATTATAATTTGCACATGCCTTTACGGGTATAACCAGAATTCAACTTGCTTCACTAATTTAACTCTTCAATAAATCTATTTACTGTCAATTGTGTTTACTTGTGTTCCACAATTTGATAGTTAATGATATTGTTCATGAATAAGAATTCGTCGTAATTAGGTGTGGTTGTAATTGTAGACTAAACTAATGGTAGTTAGATATTGTTAAGCAATGTAATTATCTCCTGTCGAAAAAACTATTTACTATTAATAATTGAAATCATGAGTCAATTGAAGCTAGACCAACATCGAAAACCTTAAAGCACTTCACGACCGTTTCATCCTATTACGGTACTCCTCAGCAGTGCGCATCCACGAACCCGGTCTCCAATGATTTGAACCCAGGACCGACCTGTTTCGAGCCGAAGATCTTAACCGATAGACCACTGAGCTGGCATCCAGAGGTGTTAATGTCTAACTTCAACTGATCCACGAAGCTGAGCAACCGTTCACCAATTGTCTTCAGTGAGTTCCTATCTCACAACGGACGTGGTTGAACTCCACTGGTCACTGCTTCCCACTAGAACTCCAGGACATGTATCTTGAATTCAGTCACTAGTGAGCATATGATTATAATCAGAAGGGGATTTGTGGAGATTTCAGTATTTTTCAAAGTTGAAATCATGTGTCAATTGAAGCTAGACCACAATGGAAAACCTGGAAACACTGGACGGCCGTTCCGTTCTATTATGGACCCCTCAGCAGTGCGCATACACGAACCCGCTCTCGCTAGATTCGAACCCAGGACCTACCAGTCTCGAGCCGAAGCCCTTAACCGATAGACCACCGGCTCGAGACTGGTAGGTCCTGGGTTCGAATCTAGCGAGAGCGGGTTCGTGTATGCGCACTGCTGAGGGGTCCATAATAGAACGGAACGGCCGTCCAGTGTTTCCAGGTTTTCCATTGTGGTCTAGCTTCAATTGACACATGATTTCAACTTTGAAAAATACTGAAATCTCCACAAATCCCCTTCTGATTACTATTAATAAAATGAAAATCAATTTCGGAATTATGGCCATACAAAAGTTTCCTCTTTAGAATGAAGAGAACATTGACAAGTTGCTAGGGCAATTATTTTCGTCCATGAATTTATATGAACTAACGTAACTGAATTCATTTTTTAGGTGTACATGTTCCTTCGTATATATATATATATATATATATATATATATATTAATGTGTGCAAAAATCTTTTAATGTATCCATTCTCTGTGGTAGCATTTCTAGGTTTCCTCAATGCTTTCAACTCTTCATTTAATTCTCTCTGTATTTACATATATAATGTTCATAACTTATTTATAGTTATTATCAGTATGTTGCCTAAACTAGTGACAAACCTCTCAATGTTATTAGATTTCAAATCAATATTTCACTTTTTTTTTACATATAACATTACATCCTGGCGATTGTCATATTGGTTGATTCTGTTTGATTTTACCAATTTAGCCTATTCTCGAGGAATAAAATCTTTGTTTTGTATTTATGAGTGAAGTTTGTAGTGGTGAACAATTTGACTGTTCAATTTCGAAGCGGCTTGAGTCGTTATCTTTATCATTAGGTAAGAAAATAGTTACTGGATAACTATGGGTAACTACTTCTATTTGAAGATTGATTGTACAAAATGATGTTGCAGTTAGAGATTGTGCCTTTTGGAGAATATATTGTTCAAGTTTGTTTTAACTGTTTTGTACTTTCAGGTATTGCTTCTTTACTAGTTTGCATACTTTTCTACATTGTTGTACAATATTTAATGGAAATCATCATTTGATATATTTAAAGTAAGAAATGAGTCTCTGAAAACTTCATAGAAACAAAATTTCTTCAAATTCTTTATTTAACATGGATCTACAAAATATTTCAAGAATTTACCAAAAGTCATAAATAGTACTCTTTGATTATACAAATTAATTAGTAAAATATCAGGTTACTATTCAAGCGACCCAGTAACCAAGTAAACTGAAATTCATATAAAAATTATTATTCCTCAAACAATATTTGGTATATAGATGAACCTAAAATGAAGTTAACTTTATAGTTGAAAATGAAATGTCTGGTAGAAGAAAGTTACGAATATCTCTTCAATCAATAACTTATCCAAAAGTAACTTGGATAATTCTATACACTACGACAGGATTGATTTTACGGTATCTGTATTCTACAATGAAATTGAAATCAACAGATTTAGTTCTTGAACATTTTTAAATGAAACTTTAAGACTATAAAATATTCATTATTGAATTACTGTCACTTACCTTAAATAGAACTATTTATTTAAATTGAGTAAACATCATATAAGGATAAATAATTTAATCAATATCTAAATTAGACCCAGAAATTGGCTTGATACCAAGTAAATAGAAGCCATATGAACATGGTGAAACCTAGTAGACTCCTCTGGAAAGGAGTGCTATATCGAAGCACAGCACAACTACAGGGGTGGGATAGTTGCTTTTTCACTGACTACGCAGAATCATTACCTAACACTTTTTTTCTTTTTTTAAATTTTGGGCAGACTCATTTTTACCATCTTTTTGAACCCTCAATAGTTATGCAATGAATCTTTGTAGCATTCGAAATCGTTTGCGAGTATATGTAGAGTAGTTGATAAGGCCGATCTCCACCACCCGTGTTACCGCTCACGTTAGTATATAGGGTGGTTGCCATGATCCAGGAGGCACGACGAGGACGTGTGAGTCGGAGTTTGCCTCCCAAATAATAAATAATATTGGAAAAAAAACTATACTGCTCAAATAATGCTACATTATTCAACATATTTTAATCATTAGCTATAAATCATTCAATATGGAAAAGTAAATTTACGTTGAAATGTTTATGAAACATTCAAAAACACTAAGTACATAAGAATGATACAGGTTGAATTGAGATTGTTAGTAAAATTTATTCAACCAGAACAGGGTGACCATATATATATATATATATATATATATATATATATATATCACATAATCATTAACGCGATTGAAAACAGAATACAGTTTACTAGGGTTATTATTTGCAAGCAAACATTCTTTTATAAAACATATGTTAATAACTACGAAATTATGTCCCCCCCAAAAGGTGTTTTTTTTTTGTTTTTCGATTTATTTTACTCTAATATCTGAATAAACTTTAAACAAAAATGTAATCGGATACAACAAATTTTATACATTGTTCATTAGTATGAATAAATCTATTCAATGGTATATATTTCTCTATGAAGGCAACAGAACATTTGAAAACAAAACAAAACAAAAATTAAAATTCTAAAGTAAGTATATAAAAAGTTCCAATTCTTTGCTTATTATTTTTAATTTAGATATACTTTGAAGTCAGCTGACATATATGTGACATTGAATAAAATTAACTGGTCATTCAATAAGTTACAAATTTGATGTCAATTATTTTGATGAATCGAATAAATGTTATATTCTTATATTTAGCTTTACAAGTAGATATAGTCAGTAGTATATATATGATTTCCTTTTAAAGGTACAAAACTTTTATTTAATAGGCATTAATATTTAAAAGCAAATAAATATAACTTTTTACTTACTTACTTACTTACGCCAGTTACCCTCAATGAAGCATACGCCGCCAACCAGCATTCTTCAACCCACTCTGTCCTGGGCCTTCTTTTCTAGTTCTATCCAACTTTTATTCATTCTTCTCATGTTTGTCTCCATTTATCGGCGTAGTGTGTTCTTTGGTCTTCCTCTTCTCCTTTGACCTCCAAGATTCCATGTGAGGGCTTGCCTTGTGACGCATTTGGGTGATTTCTTCAATGTGTGTCCTATCCACTTCCAGAACTTCTTCCTGATTTCTTCCTCCGTTGGAATCTGGTTTGTTCTCTCCCACAGTAGATCATTGCTGATAGTGTCAAATATAACTTTCTAGCTCTCATAATTAACATACTCTCATTATAACTATTTACTTTCAACAAAACTACATTAAATTAACCATAAATCTATGCCCTAAGATATTACAGAACTAGACTTAAATTGTAGTGAACAAGAATACGAATGGGGATAATCGTATGTATTTGAGCACAAAATTACAGAATATCACATCAAAATCTAACAACCATACAATAAATAATTACTTTGCAAACTATCAATCAATTGTCTCAATCATGACTGTTCGTTCTGCAAAGATCAGTCCATCGTCTCTGATTTCATTATTCATGCATTTCAATACCAATTGCTTTCCATTCTCGTTCCTTCCTTATCGATCTTGTAGTGAAATACATTCAATACCTGACCATCATTATATATTACTTATGTGGATATAAGTAACCTACACCACACTATTATATGATAGTATTCTTTGACAGATGCTATGAAAATAAGTTTTAATTTTTGTAGATAAAGTACTGAATCCAAAGTTATTTAAACTTACATTTGTTAATCTTTTTTGCATAATCTTAATTAATCCTTGAAAAATATTGGAGGAATGGAAAAAATGAGTTAATATGTAATGATAATATTATCGCGTTATGACTGAACTTTGGATTGGCAAAGCAAGGGCAGCATTTCTACAATTGAAGAACATATGGAACTCAAAACAACTCTCAACCAATTTCGGCGAGACTAAAGAACATGGACGAGCCAATCAGAAGCTTTCGCGGGTTTTCAAGGTCACGGCGCTAAGTTCGGTACCTGACGCTTACGTACGGTCAGTTTACAAAGGATTTTAGAGAAAACATGATAATTAAGCGTCTACAAGATATGTTACCATAAGATTTTGGTGCAAAATTCAATTATATATTTGGATTGAGTTGTAGCATTATAGCTGATGTCAGTTCGTGATGAAAACCCTAAGTAAAATTTATAACCTTAACCATGAACTGTAAATCATAATTTGAATTCTTCACACGGGTTTATAACCCTCATTTAGTCTTAGTTATTACGTTGACACTCTCAGATTCACTCTAGCGTCGCTCAAATGTCGTCCATTATTTATAGTCTCATCTTTAACCCTAAACCGTAACCCTAAACCTTAACCCTAATCCTAAACCCTAAACCATACCAACATACCGACAACACTGAAACTATGTGGTCGAGGCTGAAAGAATTTTCGGGACTTTATCATGGTTCCAGAGGTCGACTACTATGGAGCCA